ACATTTTGGGCACAGACATTCACCAGCTGTGATCTATTCTATAATCACAAAGCAGGTCTTTTCTAAGCAGTAATTTGAATGTATGATACCATATCTACCTGAATATCAGTTTTTGAATTTTAAATGTCATTTGCATTGAAAAAGAAAACGTTGATGTTCTACAAAGAATAGGAAATAATAAAAACACACGTAATCTGTTTATCGTGCTTGATGTGGGGAGGAAGAGCATTTGTTTTGTAAAGATCCACGGCGCACAAGATACAAAGAAACCTGCGGTCAGACCCGGGTGTGCACCACGTGAGGGTGTGACCGCTCCGGCGTGACGGTGTGTTGCGCTCTGAGTCTGCGCCGGGCTCCTCCCAGCGTGCACCGGTGTGTGTGTTCTGTGTCATTTTACTTTTCTTACGGTTTTAGAAATTCTCAAGCCCGCCCCTAAGCACAGTGGCTAAGTCCTAGCAGTGAAGATGAACCTTCCTGAACGAGTTGTTGTCAGTGAGCTTCCCACCCAGACTCATGCAGTTCTCAGCCTGTTCCTCGCTGAGGCCCACGTCTGCCGGAGATCCTGCGGGGCCCACCTTACCCCGACCACGCATCGTCTGCGTGACACGCACGCGGGCGGCCTCACTCATCCTCGCGGCAATTCCGTACAGCAGTTTTTCCCTGTCTTACCGTATGATCCCTGGGACAACAGTTGTTAAAAATAGAGATTCCTGGACCCCGTCTAGTCTTGTAAAACCTCCAGGAGTCTGTGAATAGGTAGTTTATGTAGAAATCCCATGGAACGGTTATGACGAGGCAAGTAAGGAAACACCACTGAATTTAGCAATTACATCAATTTCATCAAGGAGGGAACTGAGATCAGTAACTCAGCTAAGAGTCGCACAAGAAATCAACTTTGGAGGCGTAAGTCCAGCTGCAGTATAACTCTAAAACTTGTCCTACCGTGTTCCTTTTCTGAAGGTCATGAGGTCAGGCAAATCTGTGAGGCGACATACAATGACAATTTATATTACAGACAACAACAGATTTGCAAGAGACCTTAAAATAGTGCAGTTTCTTCCTCTGCTTTGGTTGGGACAAATACACTCAACAATTACAGAATTATAAAGAACTCGATAACTGTACATTGTCACCAACCCCTGTGGCGAAACCTGAGGTGCCGCTTCTAGAGCACGAATAAAAGTGTTTTATCCTGCATATTTTAAGTGAGGGAGGGGAGTGGGTCAAAAGCGAGAATAATCAAGCGCCTGCTAAACCACACCGTGGGGAGTCGCTGGGCGCCGAGACCGTACGGGAAAGGCTGGCTCTCCACGGTCACCCCGTGGCCGACGATGGTAACGTCCATGTCGCAGTTGAGAATGTGGTCTGTGTTCAAAGTCGAGAATTTCCTGCAGTCTCCTTTCTGCTTAATGACATACAGAGAACCGGGTAGAGAACCTGAAGTTGCGAGGACCTTGCCTTATTCCATAGAACTGCTCTTTCTCAGGATCTAAGTGAGGCTTTCTGGGGAAACTAATTGGGGAAACTAACAGACCACGCGAAGAAATCTATCATTCCTGATTTACAATCCAGGAAATTTTAGTAGCTATTCTCTCAGCTCTGAACTTTTGTATCAAAAGCCAATTTTCAAACTACTTTAGCTTTAAAATGAATGTGTGTAAAATGTACTCGAAGATTTTCCATAATGCGCGCAGCTTGAGTTGTTACAATGGAATCAATTTCTAGATCCTCCATTTCCATGGTTCTTTTTTCTTAAAATTGTCCAGGAATATGCCTGGGCTTATAATAATTCTTTCTGCTCTTTTATGGGTAGAAAAGGAGGTAACACCCTCTTGTATTCCAAATCTTAATGTACCGCATTAGCCAGAGGGACAAGAAC